AGGTGGAGCCTGTGCGCAGACGTCGGGCGAGGCAGAGTCTGCCCTCGGATGTCGGGCGAGGCGGAGTCAACTTGGGGCGGGGCCCATGGTTCTAGTGGACGGACGAGGAGTGACCCAGTAAGCGGTGTGGTCGCACTCTTGATTGTGCCGATGAGTCAGTGTTCGACGATTGTTGGGTCCTCCTCTTTGGGTACCCTAATATTGGTCCCCGACAGTAGCCCCCAAGCACCCGGGTGCTTCGAGCAGAATAGCCTAGGGGATTTTTGACTTGCCAGTGGGTGCGCACGAGCACACCCGGTGGGTGTAGCCCCCGAGCCTGAGGAGGAGTAGGATACTCCTTCGAAGGGTTTTCCAAAAGAGAGGATTCTAAGAGCCCTGGCCCTCCATTGTCGCCCACAGCGTGCCCTGAAAATGCAAATTCTTCTTCGCCGAGGTCGGACCCTCTACGGGTATGGTCGTGAGATTTGGTTGTTATTTAGCCGGATAGCTTAATTGGGATCCTGACATCCCATTCACGGGGATCCGGTCAGAGTCGGCCTGGCTGAGACTCGATCGTGGACCAAGACTCTCGTGAAGCTTGTGCGCCTGAGTTTTGGCCAATCGTGGGCCCATCCTTCTATCGTAAGGGTGCCTTTGGGCGGCTGTCGAAACCATTGATGGGCTAGCCCTAAAACTCCTGGGCCCAACTGGGCTAGAGGAATGCTTTTTGACATGTATCCTTTTACTGGTAAAGAGTCTTGGTCTGCCCGGGGAGGCAAAACGTCCAGCGCGATTTTGGAGGGAAAGGATAGGGATTGGGGGCGCATATCCCGCATGGTGACATGGTTGCCTTCCTCGCATCCATCGCCCCTATAAAACCAAAGGGTTCACCCCCAAGGTTTCGCACATTGCCTCCTTGCCTTCGTATCTACAACTTCCACCGCCAATCGCCTAAGCCTCCCGAGTCTGCATCTCAGCCACCGTCAAGTTTGCATCCACCCACCCCAATCATTCAATGGAGCCATGGTGTAGATCCGATATCACCCTTCAGCACCTGGAGGGCCTCGTTCACCGTGGCCTTCTTTGCGCGTGGACTGCCACCGAGGAGTGGCGGCTGCCCGGCGATGAGGACGCGCCGTCACTGCCCGATGGGTATGTTGTATCCTTTGCTCACTTCCACGAGTGGGGATTCGCCACCCCCTCCCATAAGTGTCTTTAGGGCTTGCTGCACTACTATAAGGTGGAGCTACAGCATCTTAATCCCAATGGAATTCAACACATTGCGGCGTTCGTAGGGCCGTACCTACAAATTGGAGGCCCCTGTGTGAAACATAATATAGGGCCCTAAAATCTAAGAAGCCAAGCCAAGCAGGCCGGCTGGCATTGGCCACCGAGCTTACGTCCTTCTGGTCCAATTAGCTAATCGGTAATCTAAGACCTATATTGTAATGTTGCATTTTATTTCTTCTATCCAATAATTGATCAACCATTGTTAATTAGTACTTTGGAGGCCTTTAAAGTTTGGAGGCCCTGAACAGTCGCACAGCTTGCTCCTGCTAATCTACGGGCCTGGCGTTCGTCACCCTATGTGAGGGGTTCTTGGGGATTAGTCCCCACTTCGAACTATGGTGGTACATCTTCGTCATCACCCTCCTGAAGAAATGGGAGAAGAAGCAAGAGCTAAACATGCCGATGGGATGCGCCAGCATTCAACTACGCAACAACCGGGTCAGCGAGTACCCGCCGATGCGTCTGTCGACCTCCAACAAGGAGTGGCATTCGCATTGGTTCTATGTCAAGAACAACGCAGTTGCCCCCTTGCTAGAGTTCACTGGGCGTGTGGTAGAACCGCCCGAAATAACACGCTTACGGAGGAGCTCGTCTTCCACCAGACACTAAGCACCCCGAAAGCAAGCTACAGCGGGCGGTATCCGTCGGGCACACCCCAAGGGAGAACCCAAAAGATCCACATTTTTCCCAAGGATCTAATAATGAGAACGAGGTACAATACTTGTCCATTTCATACATCAGAGTTTCTTAAAAGTACATTATTACAATACCAAATATCAGAGTGCGGAATGATAAACAGCGGAATTTAAAATAAACATCTAGCGATAAGAATGAGGATCCGTCTGAGCCCACCAGAAGAATCCTCCACACAAAGGTACTTCTCATGCATCACCTACAACAAGGGTAAATAAACCCTGAGTACACAATGTACTCGCAAGACTTATCCGACTAGTGGGAATAATTTCCCGACTCCAAGGAATATGAGAAGCTTTTTGGTTCACTGGTTTATTTTAGCAAAAAGCAATACTAATAGTGAGTCCTTATTTATGTTATTATTATCGGCCAGATTAAGTTATTATCTATCCAGTCTATATAAGCACCTGTTCTACTTTCAAGTAAGAGTTGAGCAATCAGTTCCATTTCTTCTCCTTCCATCTTTCAATTCTTACTACGGTGCTAGACCCAAAAACAAGTCGTACCGGATCGCCCGGCGATTCATGAATCAATGCCCCAGCTGGGTATCCCAAAAACACACGCCCCACTTGTACCCTAGGCACAAGCAGGAATAATCCATCACCCTCCTATCCTGGGTGTCTAGGTCCTCGTCCAAACTTGGACTCCAAGCCCTCACTCCTGAGTCTCGGACTCAGTGTGGTGCAAGGACCTCCATCATCTCTGCCTCTAATCAGTCGGTCCGGAAAGAGCCGGATCCACGACAGGAGAGCAACGAGTCTTCCCTGCGCCCATACACAAGTATGCGCTCGGGATAATAGATCTGTGACTTGCCTCGAGACTTATGCAACGACCGGTCCTTAACTGACATAGATAGGGAAAAAGTGCAATCGAGCTATGCCATGTTGGCCGCAGGACACAACCCTTTACACCCACCAGAACCCAACAATATCCCTACCCGGTCACCATTTTCCTTTCCACCATTTTATCAGAAGTGATCATATTTATCGCCTATTTGTGAGCAACGACAGGTTACCCACGCTACCGACATCTTGAGCATAGCAGCTACTCGACCTATACTAGTAGGACTCATGGGTGGATATATTTATGCACACAGTTTTCATAAAATGCCTATAACGTAAATGCACAATACATATATATATCCAGTTATTATTCAAAATAAGGGTTATGCACCGGGGCTTGCCATGGGCAGGCGGGGTGTCAACAAAGTTAGCAACTAATGGCTCCGGGATGTCCTCCTGCACGATGATCTCCTCCTCGTACTCTTCGACGACTTCGTCGTACTCCTGCTCGCCGAAGGTCATGATGATGATGCAATAATTAATATTTAGGCAACCACAACTCTTAAAATAAGAACACGCTTATCATGCTAACAAGCTAGCTCTACTGATCTCATACCAACTAATTTCTTAAATGATTTCATATGCTTTAAATTAGGGTATGTTAGCTACCTTAATAAATTAGCTATTCAGAGGTTACAAAAATTACAAAGAGCATCTAATATTATCATGAGTCCACTGTAAAATTTGGGCTAGCATTTCTACCAAAGCATCACAAAAAGTCATTCCCTAAATAACCATAATAATAACAAGCAACCTAGAATTAATAAGTAACCATAAAACATCACAGAACCATACGAACAAAATACACCAACAGATAGATCAGGAATTTAGGAATCTAACAAAATTTATTTCACAATAAATAAATAAATTCAAATGATCTCTAGGAAAGAAGAAGATGATAAGGATGGATAGGTCTTGATTTTAAATGAATTTAGGAAGAAGAAATAATGGAATCGGAGCTTGGATGAAAGAGATATTGATTTTGCCAGGTGGCCGCTAGTCTTACTGTGTAATTAGACTGAGGTAGTTGATGTACTATAGATTATTGTTTAATTTCCATGTGTCATCCAGTTTATTTTATGGTGGTGATGATTCAGTGGGCAGACTGTAGTGTTACTGTGTTATTAGGCTGAGGTAGTTGATGTACTATAGATTATTGTTTAATTTCCCTGTGTCATCCAGTTTATTTGATGATGATGATTCAGTGGGCAGAAGCTAAGGTTTAGCTGCAGAATTGTATGAAGTTTCTAGATTGTAAAACTGCAATCCCAATCTCCAGTTGTACTGACCTGAAAATATATACTAATTTTGCAAATGCGCATGTTTATCATGTTGTTTCTGGAAATTTTTATAAGTGTATGTTCATTGTTGATTGAGAATTCTTAGGTCTCCCCAGGCAAAGCAGGGGCGCCAGCATATAATTTGCCCAGGTATCCAGGCAATGAAGCAATGAGCGTCTCAGCAGCTCCCCAGGTCTCCCCAGGCAAAGCAGGGGCGCCAGCATATGGGCCTGTTCGGCTTGTATATAAACTGACTGGTTTCAGCTAATTCAATAGTGTTCTGTGAGGGAGAATTAGCTGAAATAGACTGACTCAGCTGAAAAATAGTTCAAGTGAATCCAGGCAATGAAGCGTCTCAGCAGCAGGGGGGCTCAATAACACTTGCCTCTCAGCAGCAGTGGCAGCTAGTATGATTGCGATGATTCAAGGGCATTCAGCAGTGATGTCTAACGATGTGTTGAAACGTCACAGATCACAAAACATCATCACAGGGTAGAAGGCGAATAGGCAAACATAATATATCTGATTCATACTATCAATTAGGTGCATTTTATTGCAAAACCTCTATAACCTTCCTTTCAACATAATCCATCCCTTTTTGCACAAGGGATAAACAAGAAGGATGCACAATGATAAAGACAACACAAAAAAACTAAAGCTCCACGCCTCTCACCCCTGTATACAACACATATACCACCCACTCCAAAAACGGTGCTGTAAACACCACAAGCCTCTATTCCTGAGTTCTATTATCCGAGCAAACTTTTATGCTCCACATTGATATTGAATCGCCACTTTGCTGTCTCCTTATGCAGAAATCAAACTCCTTTTGGTACCTACAATCCATCTACTGACCAAAATGTTACAACCAGAATCTGGGCCCTCAGGTCATCTTGCTTTGGATTTGCCTGGGTCCTCAGGTCATCTTGCTCTGGATTTGCCTGTGAACATGCACAAGGAACTCCACGTAGGAGAAGACGCCAGGCGCCTTGTCCTCTATTAAAAATGACCGGAAAAAATCACCTGCAGGGAACCAAATATTCATTTAATCAAACGTAACACCTAGTGGGGGTTTTTTTCTTTATTCAGTACAAATAATAATTAGGGGTTAATAACAGTCAGCTCATGAGTTGCCAAGAAGACTAACCAGATGGTTCACCCCTTCTGCATAGTCTTAACCTCAAGTATGAGCACCTCTGGCGTCTTATTTCATTTACAACTTCGTTAACCTTCCTTGAGAGTTCGTTGTCAAATTGATCCAATGCCAACTGCAGGAAATTCATTTGTCAAGTAACTATGACAGACATAGTAATGTTGTATAACCTTAACTTCCAGATAGTATATTCCGTATTGTTATATTCAAGCCACACAAGGAATGATAAACCCAACAGCTTCAAGATAGTAAGAGAAATTGTAAACAGACTTGCCTGGACTGGTAATGCAGCCAAAGAAGAGACACCAAATATTTGTTCCAGGGTAGCTGGATTTACCATATTTCCTACATAAATTAGACCATCCTCACCATTCTCCAATAAATAGACCCCATCCTCTTGTACATTTTCACTATTGAGCATAAGGGGACTGGGTACAAGGGAATCATCATCATCCTGAAAATAGTGTCCAAAGTTTAGATAATTTGTTTCCCTTAAGAAAGGAAGATCGGGAATTTGTTATAGCTTTGATTAACATGGCAAATTACCCTTGATATGAGATCATGGATAGGAATCAATCTAGGGAACACCAAAGGAACAGCTAGTACTACAGAAATTGACGAGACTAGAGATATCCAATAGGAACGATCATCCAATCGCCCATCAGTTCTCAAGCCTACACTTTTGACCAGTGCTGAAAAATAAAGTGAAAATGTTAGTGGAGTAAATGGACAGGGAAGGAACAAGTAAAACACTCACAGGAGGAATCATACACAAAGTATATAAGGGCAGCAGTTTTAGAGCCTCTGGGAGAATCAACTGCCCCGATGAGGTTACAGATGCACAGTGTTTGCGGTAAGATTGAAGAATATTTATGCATGTATTTGTTGCTTCATCCCGAATACGAGGTAATGGAGATGTCGGGATGCCATTAGCAGCTGTATATAGTACAAGAATGTCAGTATCATCCAGATACCACAGGCGATGAGATTGCAGACAGTTTCATTCACGGTAATTTTGCTAGCCAGAAAAAGTGAACTGTCTTGATTGTTTTACCTTGCTTCAGGAAGCATGCAAACTGTGTCTCCAAATCAGCACACCGGAAAAGATTGGCAAGCAAACTTGTGCATGAAAGTGAGAGGTTTATGACTCGGATCCTCCTTTGTCCATATACAGTAGTATAGAGAAGTGCACACTGAAAAGTGCCAGGAAAAGAATGTCAAGAACATAAATGTATAGAAAACTAACCATTTTAGCAATTAATCAAACATAATTTCAATACCAATGCTAGATGACTCATAAATAAATCATTAGTAGTTTAGTACATGTACATAAGAACGAGACAGGGCAAGATCTGTAATTTTGAAGATAAGCATAAGTCCTCAATGTGACACAGAAATTATGGTATTCTTAAACTAAACCAAGCACATAGCACAGTTTCAGAATCTACAAGCAAATTGTATAACTAACAATGGGTGGTAATAAAACACTATACAAAAAAATTGCAAGCTGATGTTCTGATAATTTGCCATAAAATTGCACTTGAATAAATTATTTAAATTTGTTGAGGAAAGTTCCAGATTTTCTTCAATTTTCTTTTTGAACTAACGGATAATTTACAACAACAACAACAAAGCCTTTCAGTCCCAAACAATTTTCTTTTTGAACTAACGGATAATTTAAAAGTAATTTTCAAAGCTTAAAAGCAAATGTTTCTTACAGACTAGTTAGTAGTCGGTAGTCTCTCTAGAGTAGATAGTTTTCCTGGGTCAATGACTCAATTCTATGTCTTATAAGAAGATAATAACACAACACAGCCAAGGTCCTAGTCCAGCATTTAACCAGTGGCCAATCAGGGTCTCATAAATGAGTTAGAAAGTAGCTGGGAGCCTTGGACCGATACTAGCAAAGCAAGTGGCAAATAGATACAAGTAACCAGTTTACCAAACCCACAAAAAAGGGTAACAAATGCTAGTACATGCTGAATTCTTACGTCTCATAAAAAATATCAACTATTTTCAAGCCCAAGATTTTGCTAAGCATTTCTCTTGACTGAGCATTCTCAGACCACCTAAGATGCTAATGTAGTACTTCAACACCAGGGACATGAAATGCATTGCAAAATTATAATGCGAAAAAACTTATCCAGAACAAAAAAAAGGCAGACACAAGCTAAAGTAAAGAGAAACATTCATTCCATCTCATTATTACCTGGAAGCCACATTCCACATTTTCTGGTAACTTGTCATCATGCTTAAACGTGACCATCACAGTTTTGTCAGAATCAATCTGCACCCAAAAAATTCTCTTTTATTGTAGGGATTCAAAGGAAGTATAAAACACGATATTGAAATGAAAAGGATGATAAAAACCTCGAACATGCATGAATAACAGAATACACAAAAATATTAATAGTTAATATAATAGCCTAAGCATCAGATACAAGGAACATGCTTTGCATATATTATTATCCAAAACAAAACTCCAATGCAATTTAAGTCCTTCCGTCTACCACCATATTCATTTCTATTATTTATCAAAGTAAATTAATGTTAACATTCAACCATAGAGGCAAGCTTCATATCACAAGTTGACATCAACAATTTTAACAAACTTTGCTGTACATCAGCATTAATTACTGACCGCTGGAAGATCAATGTCAGTGGGAACACGCTTGCAGAAATTGCCAAAATAATCCTGAACTTGGAGACCCTAATGAAGAGGCAAGAAGGAAATAAGTCATATTCAGACTCCTAACATAAAGTGCCAAAAGAAATGACTTAAGATTAAACCCACCTGACTGCATCTCACACGCATAACAGCCTCAAAACCCTGGGGTCTACTGATATTCCATCTGAGATCATTGAAGAGCTTAGCTGGATCTGAAAGAGCAGAAAATGGATAGTAGTAGTAGACCTGCAAAAAATATGCCCAATAAACTGTCAGAAATAATCATAAGAAAAAATAGAGTTTAACAAAAGTACAACATTGAGATGAAAATGATAATATATTGTTCCCTTTTGTCTTTTTCTATGTCCCAGGTACAACAATATTTTCTGCCAATATTTGTCATTGGAACAATTCCTGGAGTTTAACAAGAATTCACCTACCTAGTCATATATGCCACCAATGGTTTTCCCTCAAACCATTGAAACAATTCCTGGAGTTTAACAAGAATTCACCTACCTAGTCATATATGCACCAATGGTTTTCCCTCGAATATTTAGAAAATATTCAGCTCATTCTCAAAGCATATTTCAGTTGTAAGCTACCCATGTAAGACAGCTTGCCTCCCTTCATTTTCTAGGTTGCCTAGGCAAGCACGCCTAGTAGACAAGTTCCCAACACTAAAAAGAACAAAAATACCCTAACGGTCTTAAACGCTTCACAATTTAGAAACCATCAAGCCAACAGAATCAATTATCTATGAACCACACCATAGATGGCAAACTCAGATCAAAAGACTATATTTCAGATTATGGACACATAATTATGTTTGCACTTCTACGAGTATTTATATAAAGCGTTCATGCAAAGCCCTACCACAATGGTCTCTTCCTAGACTAAAGACAATCAACATGGTTTATATGTTTTAGGGAGAATGCCTACCCGGCCACCTGTAGTCTGAGGCACAATGGATATAGAAGCAATATCAACGTAGGATTGTGTGGTGAGGAATACATCTACACAGACCTGAAAAGGGAAAAAAATAAAAGATGATGTAACAACAAGAAAGCACTTAACCCAGAAAAAAAACTCAAGCGCTGAACATATCATGCCTGATACTCAGCAAATTCTAGTGCCATTGTCTTGAGAGTATTGTCAACAGGCTGCAAAAATTTATGGGCTTCCTGTGAATCACACAAGATTATTAGTGTTTTAATTGAGCATTCCTGATAAAAGGAACATGTGCTCCTCATGAAACAAATATATGGATTTAGATCATATTTACACTGTTAGTAAGGCAAAATAAGTATATGAAACAATGCATACCTTGTCACCAGTTGTAATGTTTGCTCTGCCTTCGGCTTCCCTTGCAGATAAAGAACCAATCCCAAGTGATGGCAGCACTGCCAACAATGCACATTATATTAACAAAAGAGCATAGAAATTTGAGACTTAAAAAACAGAAAAATCTCACAGAAGTATATAGGGTAAATTAGCAGGAATTGAAACAAATGCTTTAGGAAGCATAAAAATAGACATGAGTCCACTTGCCAGAATTAAAGTAAAAATGCCAAATGGCTTATGAAGGCCAACTATAAACTTATGTGGCAGGTGTACAGCACTAGGTCATTTGATATAGCACTGACGTTCCAATCTGGTACCAATAACAGGCAAAACTTCCTGAAGTAGAATGCAAATATGCTCACTACAAAGATCAAACTCTAACAAATTGAATATATAGCTCTCCAAATAAGCCAGGATGCATCTCTACAACTAAGAAGCAGGAAATGTCCAGGTCTGCCGGCAGGACGAAAGTTACCGCGACTCCGTAGCCCTCCGATGATTTCTCGTACCCCACGCCGCGGCCCTCACTTCCGTCAAAAATCAAATCCTCTCCCCACGCCGCAGCATTCCCTCTCGTCAAAATCAAAACCTCCCGAGAAAAGCACCGCCGCCCGCTCCCTGCTTTCCCGATCCAACCCGCGCTCTCCTGGCCCGTCGCCGCAACGCCGCCTCAGCGCCGCCGCCCGCTCCCCTGCTCTCCAGAACCAATCCACCCGCCGCAGCCACGCAAGCTCGGCCGTTGCCGCTGGGATTCTCACTCCTGGAGCCCGCCGCTGCTCCTCCACCGTCACGGCCTTCCTAGCCATCCACATCGCTGCCACTGTAGATCCCCATTTGTTTTCAAGTCCCAACGAGCCAAGCTACGACGTCGGCGGCTGCGGCGGCCCCTTCCCTCCATCTGTACGACGCCACGGCCTCAGCGCCGCCGCCCGCTCCCTGCTCTCCCGATCCGACCCGTCCTCCGCGGACACGCAGTTCAGCCCTCGGAATCGTGCGATTCGACCCGCCCTTCATTCCTGGCGCCCACGAGGCAAGCTACGACGGCGGTGGTCGCGGCGTCCCCTTCCCTCCATCCGTACTGCGGACGCAGGTGAGTCCCCGACAATGAGTCCCACGCACGTCCATGTGATTCGAACGCTTCCACTTACAGCCGTTCTACCTCTCCAGCTAGCAGCGGCACCGACTCAGGTGCCAATTCCGAGCCGCCGCCCAGTGGGGCTCGCAGAAACAGGTATATATTGAGGCTTTTCGCCATCCTCACTCTCAGATTTACTGTTTGCATTATCTGTATTTGAATTGGAAGGGCTCCTTGGAGATGCAGGCTCTCATCATCCGAGGTTGCCTTTTCTTCTGCCCTCCTTAGCTCCTTTTGTCGTTTTGTTTGCCTAATCCGATAATGATGTGGGGTGTATTTGGCAACTCAAGGTACATCCTGCTCCTATTTGCTCCTCACAGATCTGATTTTATATACCCTTTCTACTGGGTACTATTCGCCTACCTTGATGATGTTACTATGATGCATATACTGATTCTTATGTGCTATTTGTCGACTGCACCTAAACTGCTTGATGAAATGCTTCCTAGGGAACATTATGTGCTATTTGTCCATAAATGTAGGTGACGGCTATATGTCAAATTTTTCCGAGAGGCTGTCTGCTTGGTTTTTGTAAAATTGCAGACCATGTTCATAGATTTGTTCTGTGGATACATGATATTCAATTTGAAACGGGTCTAATGTGATGCATGGAGGCTTTTTTTAAAAAAAAATTGGCATTTATTTTTCTGTTTCCCCTCCTTGGATATCGAACTTCCAGTTGACAGTGGTGGTGAAAACATTCTAGGCCTTAGGTATAGGCTTAGTGATCAGTTTGGTGATTATAATCTCCAGTATGTGGAACACGTCTCCTAGGGCCATAATAGCAAATGCTCTTAGGTACAGGCTGTTTGAAGGGTAGAATTCCATAATAGCAAATGCTCATAATAGCAGAATGATATATGAGCTTGTTACAGAACAATTTGATTTGTTCAACTTTTTGACTACGTACACATGTACTTTATCTTGCATACAAGTATAAGATCGATCTGGACCTTTTTTTTATGCTATATGATCTTCCAGAAACTTAACTTGTCCCAAGACCAATTTTTTCTTTCATTTGCAAATAAAGTGGTGCCACAAGTTTAAGGGCAAACAGATTCACTATTACAGAAGATAAAGACATAAAGTGAAGACTTTTTTTGTTTGGAGAGTTATCTAAAATACATGCACCTTTCACCTACTCTGGCTCTCAGATATATTATTATTAACTCAATGAGACTAAAATAGTCACTAATCCTGTAATTTCATCATAATGAACATGCAGGTAATAAGGACATGGAATGGGGTTCTGACTGCTTTGGTGCTTGTTCCAATAAGGTGTGTGCGCGCGTGCGCTTGTGTGTGTGAATTCCTTTTTCCTGCAACCTAATAAATGTTGCTTAGAATTTAGAGGAGACCCTTTCCCTCCATTCCCTCTCATCTGCTATGTTCACCCTGAACTGTTAGTATAACTGAAAGATTGAATGGTAGCACCGCGACCTGTGAGTAGTATTTCTCTTGAAGGACTTGCTCTCATTCAGAACTTCAGATCGAGCACTTTTGAATGCTTCATCTTTGTTGACCTAAGAACAAGATTTGTGAATGCCTTTTCTTTGTGGAGTGCAAGTTGTATTTCTTTTGCATGGTTTATGAATTTAAAAACAGTTCACTTTTATGCGCAGAACCTAACTACCACTCGATGAGTCATCGACTCATCGTGTTATGTTTTATTTTAGTTTTATTGTTTTGCACATACTTTGAGTAAATATGTACTTCCTCCGTTTCAAATTATAAGTCGCTTTGACTTTTTCGGTACATCTATTTTGCTATGCATCTAGATAAATAATATGTCTAGATACATAGCAAAATGGATGAACCAAAAAAGTCAAAACGACTTATAATTTGGAACGGAGGGAGTATCAATTTATATTTTGCTTTGGTTTTGCAAGCTTAATGAGAAAGTAGAAATCAAGACAAATAAAGGTATGTCCCTGTTGTATATTACACTATTAAACATACTTAACTATGACTGCAATGGTGACAAACACCTTTGAACTTATGTCTCTGCCTGACAATTTGATTTGTACATTTGAGACTGCTATTATGATGTTGCATGTTTTTGGGCCTAATAAAATGTGTGAATTCAGTTATTTTTGTGTTGGTGTATAGACCTTGTAGACCGCTAGCGCTGGAATTTGAGGCGATCAACGAGGCTAACCCCTGTTTGCTATCGTTTCTTGAGGTACTTATTTGTGTTGCCTGAGAAGAGAGTTTAGAAGAGAGAAGAAGTCTTGCGACAAGGCACTCGACCTTATGCACTAAAAGGATTGAATGTCTCTTGTATTGTATGATGCAAGTGCTTGGTGATCAGTTCCTTGGTGGATACACTATCCTGTGATATTCACCAAGATACAAAAATTGGGTTTGCCCTACGTTGGATTATTTGTAAAGATGAATTATTGCACTTTGAAATATAAATGTAATGACTTAATATGACATTCAAATTTCACATTGATGTTCTTTTGGCCATTAATGTCTTTTAACAAAGTTATTATCACCAGTTGTATGCTTCAAAAGGCTCCTTTCGGTCATGATTGATTTGATTTGCATCACAATTGTCCATGTGTGTTACAGTTGTATTGCAATATTTTGCTCCCGTTGCAACGCACGGGCATTTACCTAGTTGAGAAAAAAGTGCCCAAGTAAACTAAGGAACCACTTAACAGAGTCAGCATAAATATTATCTCTAATAAGTTAACAAGCATACCTGATTGGAAAACCAGAAGTTTTCCACCAGTAGATTTCATCGCCAGGAAGCCAGCCTACAGAACAGAACAATGAGCACAAAGTTATCCAATCAACCATGAGAATGGAACTATGGAAAAAGAATACTTGAATGAATAAAATGTTGAATTTGATCTCTAGCTCCGCAAGACCTCACACCAAAAGAAAATAGAATTAGCACCCATAAAACATAAGGCCAAGTACCTTCATTGCTGCTCCAAAAGCAGAATCAGCAACCCTATTATTCTCAAACATGTTTGGGATACTTTCTAGCAACTGCTCCAGATTCTCGCGGCACTAAAAACACGAAGTAAACATAGGAATCATTCAAAAAAATCAAGCACAACAGCTGTCTCTTAAATCTTGATAATGACATGACATGAAATAGAAATTACTGCCAAATTTCAGTTCAAATACAAACCTCAGAAACTGGAAGAATAAGATCTGTCTGAAGAGGTGTATATACATCTTGAACATCAGGAACGATGAGCATCAAAGGCTGCAAGGGAAAAAAAGGTTGCATAGATGATTCATATATTAAAATAAGATTCATGAAGAAACAAACTGTATTGAGAGAGAGAGAGAGATGGCATAAAAGACAAGAAAATTTTTAGATGCCGTTTCTGCATACATAAATGTATTATATACTCTCAAACAACCAAAAAAAATCCATATGGCTCTATTCTAAACTCAAATATGACCAAACAGAGAAACAGAGTTGCTGACTAATTCAGAAGTTTCACTCCCAAAAGTAAAAAGGAAAACTGAGACAAACTAACATTCCCACTGTAAGTTTCAGAATCCACATAGTAATGTGTCAGAAAGAAAAAGTCAGAACGCAGTTAATGTGCTCTGCTGCACTCCACAGTAGAATCCCCTTGTTAAGGGAGTAACTTCCCAGTAACAAATTGATGTTGTGAATCCAAAAAGGATGGTTCTACAGGAAAAGCTACGGCAACACAAGCCTAAGTCATGCTGAGGACAAGTTTACAGAGAGTGCAATTTACAATACAACGTCTAGTGTGCCTGCCAACCACTGCTGATAAGGCTGAGTAAATGAAAAACAAAAAACTCAAGTGTGCAATACCTGCTGCTGAGCACGTTTAAGACTGTAGAAGTGAATAGCAGAATCAAATGTTGCAATTCCAACCATTGTCCGAGGACCTTCCTAAATAAGACAGAAAAACAATTAATGCCACAAATCAAATACCATCCCTTGAAATATTATGTAAAGAAAACCAATCCATCAAGTAAAAAATTATTCAATTACATGTGATCAATTTTGGAATTGGACCAATGATGTCCATTCCATATGGACGAATGCATGATCTCCTTTAATATTTTTTATTTAAGACATGTCAAACCATCAAAAAATGTTCATCTATATTCTTGTTCAGTCATTGGGCCATAATGGAGATGTCAAAATTCAACTAGATACTCAACAGTTCCTAGAAGGAAAAAAAAGAGCACTGAACTTAAAGTAGCACCATAAACTTATTACCTATCTAATAATACTCAAAACAGATACAATACAGCTAATGGTCAAAACTATAATGTTCACTCAGGCATTCTTAAAGCTACATTTATTTATACACAACACAAATGAAAGCATATAAGAAATTTCAAAGGAAGAAAATTCATATTGTAGCTTCTGCTGAAGTTCACTATTTCACTATGATAGTGGGTCAACTTATCACTGATGGCAGTCAGTTTGCAATAATTGATTACAAAAAAACCATATAGTTAATACCATAGTAGTGTGGAGTATATGTGTTTCTGAATAAGACTAAAGGCGAAGATGCGTGTAGCCTAACAGTAGTGGAGTGCAGCTGCTAGCTGACGATCAGCAGTTTGACTCCTGGTTCGTGCCAAAAATAAGTTCCTCACCGGCAACCCAAAAGTATAGGGGAGCATCAGCTTGGAAATCCTGGCTGCTCATGTGGTGCCAGCCTGTGATGCCTGGCTGCCTCTTGTGCTGTACAAGGTGAAGCCAGAGTTTGGGGATTTCTCAACTAGCATGGTTGAGGTTCTACCTATATGCAATGCCCCAGGGAGGCTTTCCCAAGTTGACATAGTTTTTTTTTAACCGGACTAAAGAGTTCAGTACACAGAACTTACCGGCAGATCTGAAATAGCCTGGGCAATAGCACTGCAAGCTGCAGCAGTTGCACCAGTTTGTATAGCATTCATGGAGACATCAATTAGGAAGAAGTATACAGCAGGCATTGGATCACGAACCTGAAAAATTATTATGATGGATTCTCACTGAATAGTATAAGCAAAAGGCAAAGTAAATAAGATACCAAAAATACAACAGGGCACTGGATTGGCCAATGAACTCTTTTTTTTAAAAGTTAATAAAGCCTACCAATCCATGTTCCGTAAATTTGCCAGTTTTAAGTCTGAATAGTGGCATGAGGAAACATAAATAAAATTGCAGTGTATAGAAGATACAAGTTCTACAAAAACTGTTTAATGCATAAACTATGAAGATGTTACAAGGACTTCATGGGATTAGACAAACCAGAAATTCCTTTGTAGCAACAAATTCAACTGTTCCTCTAGACAATTCAGGCCTGTCATCAGCATCACGTCGCCTACCATCAGGCCCTAAGTTGCACATGTAGTCTCTAGGAGTATCATTTCTGAATCCTACAGAGTTTGGTGATCATTATAAATTATATTCTATAGTAACATGAAAACAAACAAAATATAATGACTGGCAAGGATAATAAAGTAACAAGAAAAACAAGAAAGGTAGCACTGACACACTGAGAAGTTCATATAGGTATGTTCACAGAATGCCAAATTCTTACTCATTTAAAAGCATAGGCAGGTAGCAAAATTCAAAAAACAGCAGTAAGTAGTAGCTACTGTAGCATAAGCTTTGACAAAGAATGCTAATGAATTATCATAAGGCTGGAAACGATGCAGCTTAAGCCCTCACCACATAAGTTACAGATGAAATGCCTCCCTTGATCGACAAATTTCATGAAAGGGTTTATGTACGCTTTGCAACGAGAACACCGAATGGGTCCCATCTCTCCAAAGTCCACAAGCTAAAATACAAGGCAACGAGTTAATTTTCAAACTAGCAAGTAGGAACGAAAAATAAACATATTCAGCATATTATTCTGCTGAATAGAATTGTGACTAAATTACATCAAAGTTTACAATCATGAAACTGGTGGAGTGTGCTGCTGATACTACATTACAGCTCCATAAAATAAGATTGCACTTCGAATTGACAATTATAAAGAAACCAGCAATAACCAGCAATAAGGAAACCCGTAAAAGAAACAAGTAGCTCATAGGCAGACTACCTTGAAAAGTGATTGCAATGAACACTTCTATGCATCAATAGGAAAAACAATTGGGCATAAACAAAAAAAATGTAACATCATGCATCAGTGTGTTTAAATGTCGGACTGTGTATGATCTAATTTATTAACCTAATATAGCATTCAAATTCAAAGCATGGGATTAAATAGTGAGATTAAGACCAAAATCGACCAATTCATGCTCGAGAAAGAAGAAAAAAGACCAAAACTGATCAACTCGCATTATTAGAAAAAAAGAAGAAGAACAAAGTTGACCAATTATAGTAATAGTCTCACAAGTTTTCTTGTCTTTGTGATAAGCTGTGGAACACTGGGTGAATGTGCCAGAATGAGGGACAATTAACGGTGGATTACTTAGGACTGTTTGTTTGGGCCTTTGCTTATCAAATCTGGCTTCTATGGCTGCCTGAAAAGTTAAAATGGCTGTATTTGTGAATTTGCTTTTGAATTAATGAAACATGTAATATGTGTGATACCCCTCGAAACAGCGCCCCAATTGCCAGTAAAAGCTTCTCTACACCTGCTATTAGCTTCTAGTACAAATACAGCTTCCTGAACATGTGCAAAACAGCGCCCCAATTGCCAGTAAAAGCTTCTCTACATCTGCTATTGGCTTCTAGTACAAATGCAGCTTACTGAACATGTGTAGCGTTTATCTAGGTGCAACAAATGACAAAAAAAAAGTACCTGAATAGGTTCCTCAGATGGGTGAGGAAGAGAAAAAGGTTGAACCATCAGAGCTAAAGGCATACCCGAAGTCGTCAAGAGATCACCAGTACAAGGTATCTGATAGAACGTGTATTAGCAGCAGATTACAAAGAAACAAAGACACCATAGAATTACAGGCAATAATTAAACAAAATTACCTGATTCACAGTGCAGCGCATTAAACGAGGACTACAGTTCCCAGTGTCTTTCACAATAAATTCACTAGATGCAGCCTGTGATCAATAAGTTACTCTTATATGAGAGGCAGGAACAGTTTTGGCATGCAACAAAATATGAATGAAAATGGACACCATTTACACAATTATAGCTTTAAGACATACCGGGGGAATGGTTGCTTGGCCACCTTGTCGGGTCTCATAAATGATGACTGATGATTCAGGCATTGGCCGTGGAATTTGATTAGGATCAATTTTGGACGGGGTTGAGACCTGGGTTCCAGCATGTGGAGAATAAGGTATAGTCGGGGTGCCAGGGGGTCCTAGTGTGTTTGGCTGCATGCTACCAGGAATTCCTGGCATTCTCATAGGTGGCTGCATAGCACCAGACCCAGCTCCCTACAAATAATTTCATAGAGCATGTCAGAAGTCAAACTTCTATGGTTCCTAGAATCACAGGAGTTTAAGTTTCAGTTATTTGCTGCTCACACACTATGAAACCATACACTTAAATAAATTAAGTTTCTAATTTTTCACATCATACTGACAATGACAAGAGTATTACTTCTAAGCTAGTAATCACAACAACCATGTATGACAAAAATCCACATATATGCTATTTAGACCAAACAAATATCAATTACAGACACATAAGCAACACAAAACTTTTGGAATCCTTAACAAATTATGGGCCATTAGAATATATTTTAATACCAAATCTAATATCTATCACACATGGTTACAGGTAAAATCAATCAACATAAGGCTCATATGTCATCTAACACAACCCAGTGAAAAAATTAAAATACCTAGCAGACAAACATTCAAACAAATTCCTTGGGTATCTGAGATTGGAAACACCAAAAAAAGAAAAACTTTATCAAAAAAAAAGAAAAACTAAACTTTCGCAGTAGAACTAGCAATCACCTGAGCTTGCCAAGATGGAGGACCAAACGCTGGGGCATTTGCCCTGGGTGGCCCCATGAATGGCAGCTGCTGTGCCACAGGCGCTGATTGTGTAGCAAAGGGCGGCTGCCCAACTGGACGCGAACCCAATGGCGGTGGAGGCTGCTGCGGGGCTCCAAAGCTAGGTGGAGTTGGCTGCGTCCAAGCTGCAGCTGCCGCCATTGGCCCAGACTGGCCAGGGAATGTCGGCCGCAGTGGCACTGCTGGCTGCGACCCCGCTACAGGAGGCCCACCGAACGGCGGAGGATGTGACCCCGCAACAGGGGGGCCACCGAACGGTGCCGCCTGAGACGCAGCAACAGTGTGACCAACAAAGGGCGAAGGCGCCTGCGATGCCGTGGCAGGAGGGCCTCCAAACGGGGGAGGGGCCTGCGACGCCGCAGCAGGAGGGCCCCCGAACGGAGGCGGCGCCTGGGACACCACCCCGGGAGGAACACCAAACGACGGCCGCGGCTGAGACGCCGCGCCTGGAGGCCCCCCGAACGGTGGCGGCGGCTGGGACACTACGCCCGGTTGTCCGCCAAAGGGCGGCGAGGCGGAAGTCGCCGCCGTCGGCGCCCGCACGAACGGCGGTGCGGGCGGGCTGCCAGGGAAGGCGGGACGGGCAGCGGCCGGTGGAGGGCCCGGACGCGCGGCGAAGGCGGGCGGTGCCTGCTGCGGCTTGAGCCCCCGTGGGGCGCCGGGCGGCGGGGCCGCGCCGCGGGAGATCTGGAGGTTGGCGAACGCCCCGGGGAGAGCCCCCGCCTCCGAGCCTGCCGGCCCCTGGACCGGGCCCTGCGCGGTAGGGTTTTGCGCGGCGAACGGCGGCGGCGGCGGCGGCTGCGGCGGCGACGACGCCATGGATCGCGGCGAGATCGGGATCTGGCGCGCGGTGGCAGCCGGGGAAGGAAAGGCGGAGGCCCCTCGAGTGCTCTGCTCCCTGTTAGAACATGGATCGTTTCGTGCGCGGTCGGGTCCGGGCCAGACCGTCTGGTATAGATGGCCATCGGGCCGTGCCGGCCCGACGCGGCGTCGTGCCTCACCGGGTCACCGTGCCGGCCGTGCCGTGCCTATGGCGTGCTCGTGCCTGGCCTCCAGCCCAAGACATGGCCCATGGGCTGTTTGGCCTTGCTGTGTCGTCCGTTGAGCACGACCATTTTCACCGGACCATGTTGGCCCATTGTCCGGCTTGAAAAATAACTAAGTCTTTAAGGACTTAATCATTTTCAACATGATTTTACCACCAGATTCACAACTCAGATATTCAAAATCGCCAGATTCACATCAGATTCAAAACTCATATTCTCATAATTCTAAACCACAGGATTCACATTTCACAATCACAATTCAAACTCACAAGACACAAGTCTCAAACTCACAACTCAGAACACAAGGATAAGGGACAAAAGGACAATGGCCATCGCCGAGGGGATGCTGATCCTCCCCCCGCGTTGCGAGGCCGGAACCGCAACCGCCCGCGGACGAGCCGGACAGCCGTCCACGACCTCAACCTCCAGCAGCTCCAGCACCGTCTCTCAACGAGCGCTTTGGCGGCCTGGCCAAGTCTACTCCAGAGAAGAAAGACGCGGCGTCAAGCACCAACCTGCACGCAAAGAAGAAGAAGAGTGAGAGATGACACTTGAGAGACAGAGATCAGAGAGAGACAAAGCAGAGAAGAGCAGATCTAGGGTTAGGGAAAGTGACGAACCTGCTTTCCCAGAGCCCAGCGCCAGAGATGAAGAAGCCAGCGAGCTAGCCAGAGGATGAGACAGACACCGATTAGAATCGATGGCGAGGTGAGGGAGGAGGGAGTGACATAAACACGAACTCACATGGTTCACCGATTCCGAGCGAGAGCGAGAGAAAACAGGAGAGGAAAAGGAGGGAGGAGACGGGGTTAGCGAACTCAGTGCGAGGTGGAGGAGCGCCGACGAGGTCACCGGTGTCAGGGAGGACGGACGATAATGGTCGATGGAGAGCGGCGACGGTGGTGGATCATGAATGCGAGAGCGAGAGCGAGGCAGCGAGCGAGAGCAGACGGCGCGGCAGGGGAGGAATGGGGATTAGGGACTTAGGGTTAGGGATGGAGAGGGAGGCAGCAGGCAGCGGCTTATATATATGGCGGGGTGGGCTGGCTTCGTGGGTTGCCTCCTTGTTTGGGCCAAATGTACCGTTAGGGCCGGGGGCCACCGGTCGCCTCTTTGCACGCGGTCGTGTGCCGTCTTGCAGTGCCACACGGCAGGTGGCGCCTAGGCATGGCTCGGTGCCTCGGCCGTGTCTTGCCCCAGACCCCGCCCACCGGGCCGGTCGATGTCGTTGCTGTCTTGCCAAAAACGTTTGGAGCCACGGGTCGGGCCGACGGTCATGAGCTGCATGGGCCAACTTTACTCAGCTGCCCTGCGGTGTGGCCTACCAAGGCAACACGCACAGTTGAGCCCACATGTCATTCTGCGTGGATGTTTGGCTTGTGTGTATGGGAGAGCCGCTGGTCTCTTGGTGACGTGGCGGTAATCTATTGGGCAAGCTGCGTGGAGGGCCATGAGTGCTTCGACGTGGAGCGCGGGCACTTTTTTTACTTCCTCCATTGAAAAAAAATCTAGAATAGTATTTTTTATTTAAAAATAAGTTAAGTTGTTATATAAAAAATAGATACCATTATTCTTAATAAGTAGTATTTTCATAATATATTTATTTAGTGTTACAAATACTAATATTTTTACCTATATATATATGGTCAAACTTTAGACAATGACCAAAAATGCACCAAGAAGTACTATATCTGTCTAAAATATAGTATATTTTAGGAATTTTAAGACAAATTAAGATAGAACATAAAAGATTCATGTACCCTCATTTTATTTCCTAATTAGACGGTATCATTAACGTGATTAGTGGTGATTGGTTGATAAACGGAAAGTATTTAATATAAAAACTGGTTTTTGTCCTCTAGAATAATTTATATTTAAGGACAAATTTTCAACGCTGAAATACACTAGAATGCTGGAATACACTATATTATAGGACGAATTGAGTAGTATACAACAATGATGAGTTGGTTGTTGACCGTATACATTTTTCTCCTTGCTTAGTACGAGTAGGTGTTGGTGCTTGCATCGCTGCTTGTACTCCCTTTATCCCAAAATAAGTACCATTCTCGAGAAGTCAAACGTTTTTAACTTTGACCAAATATATACAAGAAAATATTGATATTTGTAGTCCATAATCAGTATCATTACATTAGATAGATCATTGAATCTATTTTAATAATAAACTTATTTGGAAGATATAAATAATGTTAATATTTTCTACAAATCTAGTTAAACTTAATAAAATTTGACTGGTATGAATACCGTAGCGGACATTTATTTTGGATGATGTCGGTGTGAAAAGTGACCAACAAGTAAATATTTATAGTTTTGCCGTGCGCTGTGATCGGACGTGGCCTAGCACTCAATGACACAGGATTTATACTGGTTCAGGCAACGTTCCCTACGTCCAGTTTCAGTCGGTCGGTGACTTTATTCCTAAGCCCAGGTGCTCGAAGTTTGTTGTGGGGTTACAAACGAGTAGTAATGAGAAGGGGGTGTTAGAGGCCCGATCAGACTCTGAACCGAATGGGCGAGAGTGACAGGTGCTCTAACGTGCGCTAAGTATTGGAGCGTATGCTCTGTATAGCTGTGGGGTTCTAGAACCGTTAAGCTGTTCGAGTGCTCAGGTTACCTAGAGCTAGAGAGAACGTGGAGCTTCTTTTCTTTCGAGAGCCGAGAGAACGTCCTCAGAGGAGAGAGCGCATCCCCTTTTATAGTTGAAGGGAATGGCCTTACAAGTCAGAGAAAGGGAGAATGGATACGTGTGCTACCTAGTTTTGTTGCCCATGCTGTCGGGTATGAGACGGTCGTCGGCGTCCACAATACTGTTTATGTCAGACGCATGTGGCAGGTTCTACCGTGTTCGCCTGGTACGGCAAACGTCAGTGCCTACAATACTGTTTGTACAATGACACACATAGAAGGTTGCATAGTGCCCGTCTGGCATGGCCTGGTGGCACCGTTCTGAAGGTGCGCAGGGCATGGCAGGGTACAGTCCTCGGTATTGCGGTTGACTTTGAGCGCCTTACCTTATCTGATTTGCATGATCCTTGGGCCCTCACTAAGCGGGCGTCCCCGGTCGGTCGTCCCCAGTTGGCCCCGACCGTGTTGGTCGGGGAAGAATCATGAGCAGATGTCCAGCATATCCTCGGTCGGAAAAGGAGGTCGGAGCCAGATTGTGTCCTCACCTTGGCCAGGCCTTTCGATCAGGGACCGGATCGTTGCCCTGGCCTGTCATTATATATCTGGGATGACCCGGGAAGCGCGCGTTGTCGCAACGCCATCTGCTGGGCTGAGTTTTTTGTAGGGAAGCGGGTCCGTTGGGGACCCCGGGTTTACGAACCCAACAAGAGCCCCCAAGCCCTTTTGGGACTTCTGTGAAGTCGTGAAGGGGTTGTTTATACTCGTTTCACGAGCGCGCCCGGTGGGTGTAAGATCGTGGGATGCCGTCGAACGAGACGGAGTGCCAACCCAAGCATCGGGCACGGCCGAGGAGTCGAGCGAGGAGGAGCGCCAACCCAAGCATCGGGCATGGCCAAGGGGTCGAGCGAGGAGGAGCGCCAACCCAAGCGTTGGGCGTGGCCGAGGAGTCGGATGAGGCAGAGTGCCTACCCAAGCATCGAGCGCGGCCAAGGGGTCGGGCGAGGCGGAGCGCCTACCCGAGGTGTCAGGGCGCTAACCCAAGCGTCGGGCGCAGCCGAGGGGTCGGGCGAGGCAGAGTGCGTACCCAAGTGTCTGGTGCGGCCGAGGGGTCGGGTAAGGCGGAGCGCCTACCCAAGCATCGGCCCAACCCAAGCGTCGAGCGCGGCCGAGGAGTCGGGTGAGGCAGAGCGCCTACCCAAGTGTCGGGCCAACCCAAGCATCTAGCGCGGTCGAGGGGTCAGGTGAGGCAGAGCGCCTACCTAAGTGTTAGGCGCGGCCAAGGGGTCGGGCGAGGTGGAGTGCCTACCCAAGCATCGGGCCAACCCAAGCGTCGAGCGCGGCCGAGGGTCGGGTGAGGCGGAGCGGCTACCCAAGTGTCGGGCGTGGCCGAGGGGTCGAGCGAGGTGGAGCGCCTACCCAAGTGTCGGGCCAACCTAAGCATCGGGCACGGCCGAGGGGTCGAGTGAGGCGGAGCGCCTACCCAAGGTGTCGGGGCGCGGCCGAGGGGTCAGTCTAGTTTCATGCGTTACCCCATCCACGGTTTACACAATCGGAGGGGTTGAGCTAACGTCGCTTGCCTCGATGGCTCGAGTGACATGCTCGGTGAGCTTAATAACAGGTATGTTCGAGTGCAATCCGGGTCCGTCGTTCGTAACAGGGTCGGCATAGCCCTCATGTGGCATTCCACTGCTCCTTAACCCGCCTCCCGATAGATGCCTAAGCTGTTCCGGAGATCGACTTAGGTGGCCCACTGGCCTCCCTTCGATGGAGATTCTGTGGGCATGGCTCGAGGTCAGGATCGAACGAGAAGGTCGAGATGACCCTGTCCGCTTCGGAGCGGATCGGGCGAGGACCGCTAGGGCTCATCTACGTTTTCTCCCCTAGCTCTGTTTGACGCGAGGCGGCCTCGAGCCTTTCGCGAGCCGGCCTTCGAACCCCATTGGTCGTCGCTCATATTGAATGAGGCGACTACCGCTTCGTGATGCAACGCGATGCGTTGTGATGCATCAATTGCATATGCAATGCTTGGATGTATGGGATGAATGTATGGATGAATGTATGAATGCATACATGGGAAAGGATGAATGAATCATCATGCACTAGAAAATAAAAAGGGGTTTTGGTAAAGTT